TGCTTGATTCTTTCCGTTAATCCTCATGTTTGTTATCCACATTTTGGTCCTGTTAAAACATCCTAACTCATGAATATATATGGTAGGAAATTACCTTTTAAGAGCCATGCAAAGAAATTGTGTGGCAATAATATTCTGGATTTGTTGGATAGAGTAATGACCCGTTTGATCTATATTCTGTTATCAGAAATGTTTCCCATCCTAATTCTTAGTGGCATGGAAGCTTAATTTCATCCAGTAGAAAAAGGTAGAAAAATTAGGACCAATCTTAATTATAATCAGTATGACAATTTTTTGCAATGGTGATGCAAAAGTTTCCTGTTTTTTGTGCAACCATGTTTACTCCTTTTGCAACTCAAATTATAAAACTCTGAGATGCTAACGGACAAATAAAAACATTGATTTTGTTATAATTAGGATATTCACCAAAAAGTAGAGTTTTTGTCAATTAGACAACTCGAAAGATGCCCTAACTGTTTCAATTTTATCGCTGCCATAGTTTCATAAAAAATAATGGGTATTTCTATAATAAAGCCAGACTTTCAGTAATCTTATCTCCTACTCTAATAGTCTGAATGAAAAGCCGACATATTGTGTGAGTGGAAAAGTAAATATCTTTTTAATAACTTCTTGCAATTGCCTTCTCTGTCCTAATTGTAAACACTTTATAGACAATAGCTAACTATGAGTGTTCTCTCTTGAACAGCGTCAACACCAAATAGTGTTGTTAGCAGGACTAGGTAGTGCTTAGAAAGGGTTTGATCCCTTATAATAGACTAATGAAGGCTCTACTTTTATAAAACACAAAATGTATTTTGTATTCATATCCCTAGACATTAAAGAGGCCACGAGTACAGCAAGGTGCCCTTTTGTTAAACTGAAAAAGTACATCCAGAAACTTTGCAGTATTTGAAGCCTGATCAAATCTGCCATATTTCCATTTGCATAGTAAAAGCTCATTATCATGAAATATTTTAAGAGATTTTGCCAAATTTCACTCAGTCAGACCAGTAGGTAATTGTGGGGTAAAGCAGGAAAAAAAAAAACATCTGACAAACATTTCACTTTGTCAAGTGGAGCTTTGTTGTGATCTTTTTTAAATCTAACTTGTAAAATTAATCATTTGCACAATTAGGAAGTTCTTGGTTTCACCACTGAAACATAAAACAACAAACTTCGATTTTGTAGACCACTTTAGAAATACATGGTGAGATGCGACAAACGCGTCATAATAATCAGCTTATATCTGCCTTGTTTTACTTGTGACTAAACAAATAGAAGGAGAGCATATGTGGTTCAAATGTTTTTATGGTTGCAGAGTGGAATGAGTTTTATCTTTCATTCTGTTGGGATCCGGAGGCTTGCCCACCAGAGGGCGCTGAGGATCCTTTCCTGAGGGCTTGTGCTTCCTTTTGGGATCTGGAGGCTTGCCCACCAGAGGGTGCCAAGGATCCCTTCCTGAGGGCTTGCGCTCACCTGCAACACCTGTCTTTCATCTCCTCATCAGCCTTGGGCCTACTTAAGGAGGAGGAGACTAACACTCCAGTGCCAGAGTGTTTGCCAGTAACGGTTAGCAAAACCTGAGTCAACCCGCATGTCTGAGTCTTCTGACTTTTTATGAACCAAGCCTGAACCTGTTTCCCCTTTCTGTCTCACAGATATATCCTGCCTGACTACCAGTAACTGTGGAGAATAATCTCTGCTGGTTATCTGCCTGCCTGCTCTCTGTTGAACTCTGGAGAGCTTCCTCTGTGAGTATCTGCCTGTCCGACCTCAGAAGATTACCTGGAGAGAGACTCAGTCTGTGATCTGCCTGCAAGCTCTCAGTAAGCTCTGCCTCCGCCTCAGCCAAGTCCTCAAGAGAGAAAGAGAGCGCAACCTGGATTCTGCCCGCCTGCACTCAGACTGCCTCTGCCAAGCTCTCAGTTCTCCTCCTGCCTGCACTCAGCTCAATCTCTGCAAGCCCTCAACCCTCTGTCTGCCTACTCGCCTCTGGACCCTCAAGGTTCCCCCCTCTGCAGCTCTGCTCTACTCCAGAACAGAAATTAACCTGAACATCAAACCACCAACAATATTCCTGGATCATCTCTACACCCCCTCAGCAGAACCGTTACCCCACTGGACAGGAATACATCTCTGTCCTCCTGAACCTGCAAGAAATCCGGATCACTCAGACCTCTCTGTCCTCCTCAGTGGTGAACCCACTTGCTACTGTCTGCCAGAACCCAGAACCTGTGATTATAGTACTTTATGGTAAATAAACCTTTGAACTTTTTCCCTTCCTCCTGAGTGATTTCTGCATTTGGGTTAGACTACTAGATGCCTTCATGACACATACAGGTTTATTCAGACCCATATCCTACGTAGCATTGTCACAGGCAATAGATTTGTGAGAAACGTAGCTATATGTATTAAACCAGGCTAAGTTAGCATAGCTGAAGGGAAAGTAAGTTACTGCAAAAAATGCAAATCCATATCATGTAAGTGCAAATCATACATGTTTCTGTATCATCGTGGGAGATCATAAAAGCATTTCAAGCCAAAGCACAATCTGTGCTTTGAAGTATAACTGTAAAAAAATACAAAACATTTTCTCTTTCATTCCTAAAATTCCATCTCCATATGAATTTCTTAAGCAATAATTAGTTTAGTTCACCAAATAACAGACAATAGTCTTTAAGGTTACCTTCCAAAACTATTGCTGACAGAATCATAGTTTTACTGGTAAATGTAAGTTGAAAGAAACATGGATAAAAGATCCAAAGCAACCCTTGGATTCTATGTATGTACTGTATGTGAGGTAGTTTGGTCGAGGGTCAATAAGGTGAATAAATAAAAACAGCTTCAGCCACCGGTTTCAGTTTCTCTGTTGTCTTTTATTCCTTTTCTCTCAGACAAAACATTTCTATAATCAAGTGGCAACACACCTGCACTTGAGTGCCTCAATTAAACAGGTAAAAAACAAAAAAAACAAAGTCTAAACAGAGAAACAAGAATAAACTTAATCTAATTTACAAACTCATCTACATAAAGAAAGAGTCTGCAAAATAAACAGTGTGAAACAAGATAACTCAAAAAATTACTTTAAAGAAAAACAAACAAAGCATAACTCTAAAGTAAACCCTCTAAATAGTAGAATCAAGCAAATTAATGGATGACATCATTTAGTCAATTTAGCAGGAAATACTTAAATAATGGTAAGTAAAAAGGAAAACAAAAACCATGAATATACTTTGAAACATAACAATTTAATCCAATAATCCTGAAGTAATAGCTTTAACCTAAACATAAGTAGATGGAAACTGCAACATAATGCTAACACAAACAAACCCGGGATAGTAAGTGAAAGTCAAAGTTGCAAACTAATGTTTAAATTTAAGCATTGCAGAGATTCAGAAGAAAGAATAAGGGACAAGTGGTAAACACAAACTAAACCACTTTGTCACACTGTATATGTGGGTATGAACTGCTAACTGCTTGATTTTTAGTTTCTCGTAACAGTAGTTATACTGCTTGATGTTGCTGTCACTTTACAGCCAAGATATATTTAAATAGACTTTAAAGATGGAGTCAAGAGTTCATCAATAAAAGAAATAGAGCTTTCATTTTCAGAGCGAGGATTGGCACAAAAAAAAAGTCATAATGTTCAGCCAAATCAGAGAACGCATCCACCTTAGAAATCGACTGCTTCAGTTGAAGCGACAGAACATGTGACTTCATACTGGGACATTGCTCTGGTCTGGCAGGAGCTAAAGAGACGTTTCTTGGTTTTAATCGATACATTTCTAATGTTATCTGTAAAGCAAAGGAGATTTTGCTATGTATTGCTCTCAAAAGAGTAGAGAGCTCTTTGAGTGGCCTAAAAAGAAGTCTAGAGGACAGATTTTGACGGGAAAATATTTAAGCTTCTGATGGGAAGAGAGAAGCAGGTGCAAAGTAAAGTGCATTTGCTTTGGGGAAAATGCAAAATAATATCATGTAAGTGTTTACCCCCCCTTTGGAATCACACAGCAAATATATAGCAGAAGGGTCAGACTCGGCAAAAATAATCAATAAACCATTTCAATAAGCAGAAAACCTTACATAGAATAGGAGTTCAGAAGGACAGAAAACCGATAAACTGAAATAGCCATCCTCTTTGAGCCTAAAAAAACAACTAAAAAACCTTCAACAAACTTTACATGTCATTTTCTGACGATCCCCTCTCACTTCCTCACCCAGTAGCCCACCTATTTAAACTATCCAACAGAATGTACTGCTGCGTTTTCATTTTTTGTAATCATAGTTCTCATTATGTATTTTAATAAAATAAAATCCAATATCTGTTTTAGTAGGAGCCTTCTGTGGCAGGCTGGTAATTAAGTCAGGCTTTGCTTTTCAAACGAGCCAGCTGTTTGTTTGTATTTTAATACTTTCTTTATATAAAAAAAATTATAGTCTGACCAACTAAAATGTGGGGTATTGTTTTAACTCGTGGGGCACTGTGGCAGAAGTGAAAAAATCTGTACACATAGGGATCTGCTCACGCTCTCTCTGCATTGCAGTCAATGCAACCAGTGTGACTCCCACTCTACATTATTTTTGAATGATGTTGTCAGTCATTTATGCCATGTGGAGTGCAAAGTAGGTCTGCAACTGTTTAGTTAATACATGTTATTATTGTAACCCAGGAAAACATAGCCCTCATTAAACATAAACCTTTTCATAAAAATAGCTATAAAATGCTCAAATACGAAATAAATAAATAGGAAATAAATAGGCTTTAAAATAGTTAAAAATATTAATAATAATAATTACAGATATTATAAATGGTGTATTTCATTTTATATTTTATTTTGTTTAAAACTGTATAAAAGAGATTTATTTTGCCAGCAGCTAAATGGTTAAATCTGAGAAAAACGTCTTACTCTGAAGGGTCACATTGATTTGTAGCCCATGTGACAAGCTCCAGCCAATTGGGTCGCTATGTTCTCTGGCGCTACCAGAGAAAGCAAGGGAGAAGAATAGAGAGAACGAAGAAGCTAATGGAGTTGTGCTGGTAAAGAGAGACAATAAGAGAAAATTGACCATTGAAAAGACTACCTGCTGTCTGGAATATTTTTCACGTTTTTGGAGGAGGAGCTTTCCACATATATTTTTTTTCCCTGACCGAATTCGGGAGTGTTTTATGTTACAGAACTGGACTTGGTGAGTTAAAAAAGTGTATTTTATTTTCTGTGAAGGATTTTTTTTGTAAGACAATTGTATTTCATTGAAATGTGAAGCTAAAGTAGTGCTTTTATGTTTTTTTTTATGTTAGAAAAAAAAAAACCTTGGAATTAATATATGGAGTGGTGTGGGTGAAGCATTTTCCCCCACACACACAATGTTCAGCAGCCAAATCGACGTAGATATTACTTTATTCAGTAGAAAGCAAAGTTAAAAAGAACTTTGTATGCTTTGTTGGTTATTAAACCAGGCCTTTAAGTTTCTGCTGGAGATTGGACCGAGAAAGTCGATTGCTGAGTTGGATTCCACTATTGAGAAACAAGATGGCGAGCCGTAACCCAGGAGCCCAGTAACCGCCGTCTAGCAGGAGATACGCCCTCTGCTGGACATTTCAAATCATCCAAACTGGTATGACCTGCCCATTTTTTCCTGCTAAAAAAAAGCAGTGGATTCAGAATTAACTCTTCAGGATCAACAGAGAGAAAAGACATTGATTGAAGCACAAGTTATCCAGTCTTTTGCTGGATTTGGTTCTTTTGTGTTTTATTGATTTTCTTTCTGGATCATTTTCAGTATTCATTGTAATTGTGTGGAATGTAAATTGTCTGTTGGGTTATAATAGAAAAAAGAAATAGTTAAAACAGGAAATTAACACCCCTTAACTTCCTAGAAAGAACTCTAAATAACTAAAATTGATTAAAAAATAGATTAAATTTGAACAAACTATAAATAAAATAGTTAATCGTACCAATCTTGAACTTAAATAGAACTATAACCTAGGTTTAAATAAATAGTATCCTTTAATACCTAAAATTAGGTGTAAATGTGAAACAGGGGTCAAACCGATTATTCTGAAAGAAACAGGGAAACTATTTTGATTGAATTTTGTGTCATTGTATGTGTATTGTTTGTAATATTGTTCTTTTCAAATAATAAGCCGGCAGTTTAATCATATTTTCTGGTCTGTGGTCATTTATACACTTACACATTTCTCTACTTTCATAGCCGAACCTAGCACTGGTCTTATTATCTGTTTTATCAACTGTAAACTCATCGTGAGTGTTACAGAAAGTGGCGAGCCAGCCAGGAGTAGGAAATAGAAGCTTAAACTGTATTTCTGACCCAGATCACAAAAAAAAGAAAGAAAGAAAAAAAAAGAAAAAAAGGCCAAGTTCAGCGAGAAATGGACATAGTTGACAAAGAAAACATTAAAGTTCCAAACTCCGTGATTGTTAGTGGCATCACTGACACAGAGGTTGATGAAAATGTAACAGACTTCCTAAACAGGTATGGAAAAATAATGAGAACCTTTAAAATAGATGACCCGCATTCTTCTTACCACCAGAATGCCATTGTGGAGTATGAGAGTGGAGCTGCTTTGACAGCGCTTGAACCATTACTCCCTTATGTACTTGAGAGCTCAAACAAAATCTCTTATCGAATCAGAGCTCTGTCCACTGAGTATGTGTCTGATGTCACAGATAAAGCCACCCATCGTTTTTTCTGTGAACTGCAAGAAATTGCTAAATTAGGTGGAAAATCCTTTGAAGCCGTCCTGCATGAGCACCTGTCCAAATGCTCTCAATCAGTCACAGGCAGCTCTGGGATACCTGAAACTGAGAGTTTTACTCTCGAGACACAAAGTGGCCTGATGAACCCAGTTACCAGACCAACCCAAGGTAATGACCTACTTTTCCAAAGTGAAATGGCAGAGCAGTCTAAAACTTATATAAGCAACTCTGACTCTGACTCAGTTAATCAACCTCGACCCAATCTAGTCTCTAACCTATCACAGAATCTTGTCACTCACCCTGAAGTGCAAAAAGTAATTGTAGAGCATATAGTACGAAATGAAGCTCCGGTCTCACAGGTGGGTGCCTCTTTTCGGCTAAGGCAGTTTTCAGGCAAACTGCCTTGTCCTAGCCATGAGGCTGATTTCGATACATGGCGAAACAGTGTCGAGCTCATACTTCAGGATCCGGATATGTCTGTATTGCAGTGCTCGCGGAAGATTTTAGACAGTCTTGTGCCACCTGCTTCTAATGTAGTAAAACCCTTGGGCCCTACAGCACTGCCATCGGCTTATCTTGAACTGTTAAATTCAGCTTTTGGCACAGTGGAAGATGGCGATGAGCTTTTTGCTAAATTTCTTAACATCCTACAAGACCCGGGTGAAAAGCCATCAAATTACCTGCATCGCTTGCAGACAGTCCTCTCAAAAGCTTTGAGCAGAGGTGGAGCAGCCCCAGCTGAAGCAGACCGACACCTTCTGCGTCAGTTTTGCCGTGGGTGTTGGGATGATGCCTTACTTGCAGAGCTCCAGCTTGAAAGAAGAAAAGATAAACCACCTTCTTTCACTGAGCTACTATTGCAGCTGAGAGTTGAAGAAGACAAACATATTGCAAAAGAAAGCAGAATGAAAAAACACTTCGCTGCTGCGCGACCAAAAGTAGCCTCCCAAGCTATTACTGTAACCTCTGACCTCTCTGATCCCATAGTTCAAGACAATCTCACTGAAATGCGAACCCAGATAACCCAGATGCAAAGTCAGCTGACAAAATTGAAACCCCAAAAGGTAGTTCAACCTGTGGTTCCCCAAAGTGACCTTGTCACAGAACTAAAAGCACAAATTGCTCAGCTGCAGAGCCATCTGGCTAAACTAAAACCGCCAACCTCCAATAAGAAAAGTGCTAGTGCACCCAAAGCTAGGACACAGACTAAACCTAAGGCACCTGAAGAAAGCGTGACAGTCCAAACTTTAAAGAGTAGACCGAAGCCTTGGTATTGCTTTCGCTGCGGCGAAGATGGCCATATCGTTTCAGCTTGCTCCAATGATACAAACCCATCCCTTGTTGCTGAGAAGAGAAACCAGTTAAAAGCAAAACAGTTACTTTGGGACAAACAAAACAATCAACCACAGTCTTTAAACTAGGGGAAGCACTCATTGAGGGGCGGATGGGTGCTGCTGCTAAAATCAGTCCCACTGCACATTCAAGAAAGAACAGAAAACGGCTCTTTCACAACAAATCAGCCAGTGCGAAGTTACCCAAAGGCCTAGTTGGAGCTAAGTACACTGCTGAAGTACTGATTAACGGACAGGCTTGTAATTGCCTTCTCGATACCGGGTCACAGGTGACAACTGTATCACAGTCGTTTTATGACAGTTATCTCTCACATTTGGAGATCCATTCCATACATGACCTTCTTGAAGTTGAAGCTGCAAATGGTCAGAATATTCCATATTCAGGCTATATATGTGTTGACATCACCTTCCCAAAGGACAGTTTTGGACACGAACTAACCGTGTCCTCTCTTGCATTGGTTGTTCCAAACACGCGCTCCAGTACCCAAACTTCTCTCTTGATTGGTACTAATACGCTTGACCTTTTCTTTGAAAGTTTTTCTCTTGCTAAAACAGATTCCAGCGGCCTTCCCTATAGTTACAGGGTGGTGCTGAGCGTGTTACAAAAAAGATACAGGCAGAAAGAGACCAGCAATCTTGGTCTTGTCAGACTGTCCGGAAATGGGCCTGAGACCATTCCTGCAGGCCAAAGTAAAGTCTTGGAAGGGTCAGTTCATGTGAACATTGATACACCAGATAAGTGGGTTGTAGTTGAGTCCCCCAATGCATCCTCCTTACCAGGAGGTGTTTTGGTCACTAACTGTTTACTTACACTTCCTGAGAAACCATCACAAAAGCTCCCTGTTGTCCTGCGAAATGAAAGTAAACATGACATAGTTATTCCTGGAAACAGTGTAATCGCTGAAATTCATGCCATGCAAGAGATTTTGTCACATCCCCTTATCTCTGACGAGTCAAAGCAAACTCCTAGTTCACAGCCTGCTGAGCTTAATTTAAACTTTGGAGATTCCCCAGTCCCCGCTGAATGGAAAGAGCGAATTAAGCAGAAGTTGAATGCTATGCCAGAGGTTTTCGCACAGCATGATACTGATTTTGGGTGTACTAGTAAAGTAAAGCATCGGATTAAACTAAGCGATGAGACCCCTTTTAAACATAGGCCTCGCCCAATACGACCGCAAGACGTTGACGCTGTTCGTCTTCATTTGCAGGAACTGTTACAGGCGGGGGTAATCCGCGAATCCGAGTCAGCCTTCTCCTCACCCATCGTGGTGGTAAGGAAGAAAAATGGAGATGTGCGACTTTGTGTCGATTATCGGAAGCTAAATCAGAGCACGATCAAAGATGCTTACGCACTTCCTAATCTGGAAGAAACTTTTTCAGCCCTTACTGGGTCGAAATGGTTTTCGGTCCTTGACCTCAAAAGTGGTTACTACCAGGTTGAAGTCGAGGAGGAAGATAAGCACAAGACAGCTTTTGTATGCCCACTGGGATTTTTCGAGTTCAACCGTATGCCGCAGGGTGTAACTAACGCCCCCAGTACCTTTCAGCGTCTGATGGAGAGATGTATGGGTGACATAAACCTTAAGGAAGTCTTGGTTTTCCTGGATGACCTTATAGTTTTCTCCGAAACCCTCGAAGAACATGAAACACGTCTTCTTAATGTGCTCAGTCGTCTCCAAGAATATGGTCTAAAACTGTCACTCGAGAAGTGTAGGTTTGTTCAGACATCTGTGAGGTATTTGGGACACATAGTCTCTCAGCGCGGCATTGAAACGGACCCCGAAAAAGTTGCTGCTTTAACAACTTGGCCAAGTCCTACAAACCTAAAAGAACTTCGCTCCTTCTTAGGTTTTGCAGGTTATTATAGGCGGTTTATTAAAGATTTTTCTAAAATCGTCAAACCCCTTACCAATTTAACTGCAGGGTATCCGCCTCTGCGTAAGAAAAGTGGCTGTAAGCTAACCAGTGACCAGTATTTTCAGCCCAAAGTTCCTTTTGGGGAGAGATGGACAGAAAGCTGTCAACAAGCATTTGAAACAATAATACACAAACTAACTACTGCCCCAGTGTTGGGCTTTGCCAATCCCAAGTTGCAGTATGTATTACATACAGATGCTAGTACAACTGGACTGGGGGCAGCCCTGTATCAGGAGCAAGAGGGAGAGATGCGTGTTATCGCATACGGGAGCAGAGGTTTATCGAGAAGTGAAAGCCGGTACCCCGCTCACAAACTTGAGTTTCTTGCCCTCAAATGGGCAGTAACAGAAAAGTTTTGTGACTACTTGTATGGCAGTCCTTTCACAGTGATAACCGACAGCAACCCTCTAACTTATATTTTGACCACTGCCAAGTTAGATGCAACAAGTTACCGCTGGTTGTCTGCTTTATCGTCATTTGAGTTCCAGCTACGGTACAGAGCTGGAAAACAGAATGCAGACGCAGACGGGTTATCTCGTCGTCCACATCCTGAGCCAGTAAATGATCTTGTCTCTCTGAAAGAACAGGAACGAATCCGTCAATTTGTACAACATCACTTACCTGGCACAGATCCTTTCATTCATGTTCCTGCTCATGCTGTAAATGCGATTTGTGAAAAACATCTAGTGTTTCAGTCTTTCAATGCAGATCATTATGATCTTACCTGCCCAGTTGTAACATCTCTGTCTATGACTGCTCAGGCAGTCCCTGAAAGTTTTGATGAGTGCAGCGGTTTTTCTGTCATTCCAAGCATGTCAGAAGATGAATTGAGTCACAGTCAAAGGAGCGATCCTGCTATCAACGAAATTATACACCAGCTGGAAACAGGTGAAACACCTTCTCCTGTATTACGAAAAGAAATTCCAGAACTTCCCATCCTTCTGCGTGAGCTGAATAAGCTTGAGCTAAAGAATGGGATTTTGTACAGAAAAAGGCAAGTAGGTGAAGAAATACAGTATCAACTTATTCTCCCTGAAAGCCTAAGATCTATGGTTTTGAAAAGCCTCCACGATGACATGGGTCATCTTGGCTTTGACAGAACCCTCGACTTAGTTCGAAACAGATTTTTCTGGCCAAAGATGGCCTTAGATATTGAACAAAAGATCAAGACCTG